TGTGTGAGTGTATGTATATGTAGAGAGTGCACATTTACCTGTTGGCATTACTAAAAACAAGACTAACAACCCACAGGCGACAGCTCAACTTAGGCGGCAAGGATTTGCACAGAACAAGGTAATGGGAAAGGTGTTGCGGGAAAGGAACTGAAACCAAATGCTTGCAAGTGTTTTTTGCTCTTATGTTTTATTGGTTTTTCTTTTTGTTTCGCTCTGTTGCTTCACTTTCCCCTGCCCTCCGCTCCCACCATGGGGAAAAAGTTCTGTTTTGGCTGACCATGAGTTGTTCAATATTTGCAGGCTAACAAGACAGACAAGGACAGCACGCCGCCCCGTGATGCACCTCCACTCACTCCTCTCACAAAGGGCTTGAACCTAACCGGCACGCCACTGGTGCGCAAGGAGAAGCGACAGAGCAGCACCCGTTATAATGTGTCCAAGAACTGCGAACTAACGCCGCTAAGCACGCTGAATGAAAGTAAGTACACTGCAGCATATGCACGGGCATGCATACATACACATTCATTCAAGTATGTGCATGTATGTGTGAGCGTATTTACACTTGTAATTGTGATGTATGATTTGCGTATTCCGCACAGCTGTCGAATCGCAGTTGTTTGTCGGTATTTTTTATTGCGTTATTATTTATTAAGCAAGTTCGTAAAGGTCAAGTGAGCGATGCTCATTTTGATGGGCTGCTCAACACTTCACTACACACACGCAAACATAAGCACATAGGGTTTCAGCTGTGCATGTATTTGTTACGCCCGCCACCTCATTTTAGCCACTTGCCTTGCGCGCCGTTTACGCTCTTCCATCGCAACCCTCTATTTCCGTTCAAGCGCTTTCTGTCTCTTTCTCTCTCTCTTGCTCCCGGCGCTCTCTAATTACAACACAATGAGTTTTTAAGCTTTAATTTCGATTAATGCTTAATAATTGTTTAAGCGTTTGCTATTGACGTGCGATTCGTTCTCTCCTTGGCAGTTTGGTCACTGCTGCTGTCGTCGTCATTTTCTGGCGCTCTCTCTGTCTGCCTTTTATTGTGTCTCTTTCGGTATTGCTCTCTTTGGCTCATCCTGCGCTCGCCCACGGGAAATGCTATCGATTTTTCTGCCTGCGTGCCCTTAACAAATTGCCCTGCAGTCAACACGGGTCTCTGGCAGCTCTGCATAAATTTTTTTTTAATATACAGTTTAATTGTTGCACATCGGTTGTGTTTAGCGAAAATTTTCCGTTATCCGACGTTTCTATTACTGGAACATTTATAATAATAATTATACAAAAAAAAAAACAACAACAACAAAAACAACAAAAACAAAAACAAATAGCTAAAGTCCCAGACATTGCAAAACCCGGCAGCATTCCCAATACAAATTCGTAAGTGATGAAGAAATATAGAAAGTACATACACACATATACATATATGTCTATATATTATAGTATAGTATGTATTGCAGTAGTTGCTGACATCGCTTAGGTGTCTCTCCAAACTATAATTTCTCGCTTGAGACTGCCTAAACAGCAATTACTTCATTTTCGTTTTCGTTTTTTTCCTTTCATCAACTTTTCATTCTCGGTTTGCATTTCATTTCGTTATCATTTACCCACACATTCATACATAAAAAATCATAATCTATATATTGCAATTCCATTTACAGGTGCTATAAACATAAATTGCGCAAACAAAAGAAAAACTATTAGAAAAAATTACTTGAATAGTGTCGCATTTCTCCTACCCACCATCGTTCCTGTTGTTGTTGGTTGTTTGTTTGTTTGTTCGTTCAATGTTTTGATTGTTATTCAGGAGTCGCTCAATTAGTAAATGCGCCAATTAAGCCAAAGTGCGCCGCCATTAAACCAAGTGCGGCTCTAATGAAATGGTCATCGGTGCTATGTTGTTGACGGGCAACCAGCTGAACGGCACCTCCAAACAGCAGCAACCGACTGCCAACAACAACACAAGCAACGCAACAGCAGCAGCAGCAGCGGTCGCAGTAAAGCAGGAGCTGCCGCAACAACAGCAGCAGCAGGCAACAGAGACAGTTGCTGCTGGCTACTATGCACTGGGCGGTATACGTATTCCCAAGTCGCCTTCGTTTCACAGCGGATTAGATCAGCTGGCTGACGACGAGGATCAGCAGCAGCAGGGGTCGTCGGCGGAGCAAGGCAGCAAATTCAAGTTCAGCAGCGTGGAAGAGCTGAAGGCCAAGTTCGAGTCGCAGGCACGCAAGATGCCACTGTCGCCGCCAGAGACAATTGCCAACACAACCACCGCAACCACCAACGCCTCATCGTCGCCCTCCTCCTCGTCGACTAGCTCGAACTCATCGGCTTCTGCGCTGTCGTCGCTGTCGCAGGCTGGCTCGTCCTCTCTGGCCTCGGCAGCTGCGAGCTTGACGGCCTCCACATCTTCAGCGGTTACTTACGGTGGTGGGGCGAACTCGGCGGCCGCAGCGTTAATAGCCTCCTCCTCGCCCTTTGGCTCACAGTCCTCAACGTCCTCTTTGTCGCTGTCGTCGGCGGCGACAAATGTAGCGGGAGCAACGACAACAGCTACAGCAGCAGCAACAGCAGCAACAGCAACAGCAACTGCAGCAGCTGCTGCTACAGCATCTTCAATGTCAAGGCAAGCACCCAGCACCACCGCAGGTGGAGCACCAGGTAGCAGCAGTGGCAGCTCTTTGGTGTCCACCTTGGCGCAGCATTTCTCGGCAGCAAGCACAGCGGGCTCGCTGCTCAGCACCGCAACTGGCGCTGCCACGTCGGCCACTTCCCCAGCCAGTTCGTCCAGCAACAAGGTTTGCAGCCATTGAACACAATCACACTCAGCCACACACACAGACAAGAGAGACAAATATTGTACACATAATGAAAGAACTTCTCTGCTCTACTCATTTCATAAATCAAAATCACGCAACCCACTCTCAAACATCATTCAACAGTCACCCGTGAGCGCCGCCGCGGCCATTAAGAACATTTTGAATGCCACGAAAAGTGTGGGCAACAGCAGCAGCAGCAGCAGCACAAGCGGCAGCAGCAGTGAGGGAGCAGTGGCGACTGAAGAGCCGGGGCGCTCGACAGTGGCACAGAGTCTGGTCGGTGGCATAAGCATTTCCCTGGGCATTGGCCAGCGCAATGGCAGCAATGGTGCAGCGACTGTGGCATTGGTATCGACCTCATCAACTGTGTCCGCGTCGTCGTCAACGGCAACGTCTGTCTCGGTGCTGCGTCAGAATGGCGATGTGATTGGCCACACTCTGTCGTCGCCGTCGCAGACGCTGCAGCAGCTGACTGGAAGTCCAGGACGTGCACGCGATCGGAATCTGTTTCATTCGCCGCCCAACGCATCAACTGCGCTGGCTTTGCCGCCACTGCGAGGTTCCTATTGGTTACGCTCCTCCTACCTTAGCTTCCATTTAAGAAACAACTTGTTTTTAGTTTAGCTTGCTTTTGTCAGTTGTTTTTGTTGTTTCGTTCGCCTTTGGTTCAAGTCTGTAGCGCTTTACTATACCTCCTTCATATATAGAGAGTTACTAATCCCCTTTGATTACTTGCATCCATAGAAACCCCTGCGCAGGAACGGGAGGAGCTGTTCCTGCAGAAGCTACGACAATGTTGCACTCTGTTCGATTTCTCCGAGCCGCTAAGCGACCTCAAATGGAAGGAGGTCAAGCGAGCCGCCCTGCACGAGATGGTGGAGTATCTGTCCAATCAGAATGGCGTCATTACAGAGAATATATATCCGGAGGCCATCAACATGGTAAGGCAGCATGCTAAGAAAAATATCTTTAATCAACGTCTAACTGTATATTCGTTCCGTTTAGTTTTCCGTAAATCTCTTTCGAACCCTACCGCCTTCGTCGAATCCAAATGGCGCTGAGTTTGATCCAGAAGAGGATGAGCCTACACTGGAATCATCCTGGCCACATTTGCAATTGGTGTATGAACTATTTTTGCGTTTTTTGGAATCACCTGATTTTCAGCCAAATATTGCGAAGCGTTATATCGATCATCAATTTGTATTACAACTGTTGGATTTATTCGATTCGGAGGATCCCCGTGAACGCGATTTCCTTAAGACTGTTTTACATCGCATCTATGGCAAGTTCTTGGGATTGAGGGCATTTATTAGAAAGCAGATAAACAATGTGTTTTACAGGTAAATAGTACACTTATTTCAATTATTTAACTCTTTATCAATGCAATAAGATACAACCCGATTATTGACAGATTTATCTATGAAACGGAGCACCATAATGGCATTGCCGAGCTGCTGGAAATCTTGGGCAGCATAATTAATGGCTTCGCTTTACCGCTCAAGGAAGAGCATAAACAATTTTTACTTAAGGTATTGCTGCCATTGCACAAAGCCAAGAGCCTCTCTGTCTACCATCCGCAGCTGACCTATTGCGTGGTGCAGTTCCTTGAGAAGGATCCCAGTTTATCGGAGGCGGTTATCAAGTAAGCATTTCGTCGTTTGTTTACTATACAAAGCAAATAAATTTAACTATATGCCAAATACTATTTGCAGAAGTCTTTTAAAGTTTTGGCCGAAAACTCACAGTCCCAAGGAGGTGATGTTTTTGAATGAGGTGGAGGAATTGCTCGATGTCATTGAGCCTGCTGAATTTCAGAAGGTGATGGTACCACTCTTTCGGCAGATAGCTAAGTGCGTCTCCTCGCCGCATTTCCAAGTGGCTGAGCGCGCGCTTTATTATTGGAACAATGAGTACATTATGTCTCTGATAGCGGACAATTCGCAGACCATTCTTCCCATCATGTTTCCAGCGCTTAATCGTAACTCCAAGACCCACTGGAATAAGACTATACACGGCCTCATTTACAATGCACTTAAGTTGTTCATGGAGATGAATCAACGGCTATTCGATGAGTGCAGCAAGAACTATAAGCAGGAGAAGCAGCTGTAAGAAAAATAATAATATATATATTTATAATATATATATATGTATTTTATCTATGCAGCGAACGCGAGAAGCTTACGCAACGCGAGGAGCTGTGGCAACAAGTGGAAAACCTGGCCAAAACCAATCCAGAATGGACGAAGGCGCGTCGCTACGAGCTGGACGGCCTGCCAACGTCCGATAGTCAAATACTATATGATCAATACAATGAGAATTGTGATCTAACCTACGATAAGAATGAGCAACAGCCCAGGCAGCAGTTGCAATCGCTGTCCCAGACGCCGCTAAAGCAACAGCCAAACCAGGAGCCCAGAGAGGTGAGACAAGCTCTAGCCACACTCACCACACTACACAACTACTAACTGAACGCGGTCACACTTGTGTATGTGAATGTGTACGTGTATGTGAAAACATGCGTGTGTTTGATTGTGTAATTGAGCAACAACCAGCCAGCTTTTCCTTCAACCACCTGTCACTAATCCTAAGAGCGAATAAACTAATCGCACTCGTTCCAGCTATAAATACATGTTTCTTGATCTGTATCTAATAATATACATATGTTCAACTTATTTAATCGTTTTTACTGCACTATTAATACAAACGCCTACTCACCCATACCCTCACCTATCTAATTTCCTCAATGAAAACTGAAATATTGGACTATCTGCCACTGACAATTGCATTAGCTCGAAACACACGTATAGCTTGTAACAGCATTAATGGTCGATTTATTATTTATTATCGATAACATATCTAATTATTATAAACGAAATATGGATTTTAGCCAGTGTAAGTTTTAGCTGATGTCACAGAAAACATTTTGCAATATAATGGATTGAACTATTGATAAAGTTGCCTATGCAATAAAAATTAATAAAATTAATTGAATTCCATTATTTTTCCTAGGGAGTTTTTCTGTAAATATGCCAGTGAACGTATTCATAAAATCGATCATCGAAACTGTCGATGACTTGACTTGAACAGATTTAAATGAAATATCAAAAATGTATAAATGATAGATTAGATAGTGAGATATGAAAATAGTTTTCCAAGTTAATGTTAAATCACCTTTACTACTACAAATTTCTACTCACGACGCCTATTTATTTAAGTGCTTATATCATATATAAATGTGTTTATTTTCTATTATATATTGTATATGAATGAGTGTGTTTGCGAGCATAGTTGTATATATGTGTGATGTGGTTCTTAAACGTGGTACTAATTATAGCACGCATTATCTGAGTCACGTCATTCAACTGCACCTGCAAAAATAACATCTACAGATCTTATAATCGTTAGTCGTTAAATGTAATCGATAATCAGTGTGGGGCTGAGCAGGGGACCAACATTTAAAATGCTTACGTGTGCATTACGCTCTCGCTCTCGCCCTCGCCCACAGATTCGCGGTGAACGGAACAAGGAGAAACCGCTTATTCGACGAAAATCCGATCTGCCCTCAGACAGCGGCACCGTGCGCGCCCTCATCGAGCATAAGCGACCCGATGAGTACTTGGCAACGCCGCCCCCAGATGCTACCAACTATTAGGCCGACCTTCTCGCCCCCACGCCCGCACCAAACCCACTCGGGCTGGTCCTCAAGTGCCCGAACGCTGGCGTAGCAAAGGTTCTACTTAGAATAACGCACACAAACATATACAAAGCGAAGAAAGAGCAAAACGAAAAAAATATATATGTACGTCTAATCGAAGATTATAAAGATAAGGGGCTGGCTGATGCTGGAGATAATATGATAACGATAATGATAATGATAATGCTAATGATAACGAGGATGATGATAATATTCGTTTGTATGTTTTGTGAGCGTGTGCAGCACGCGCCTCTTTAGAAATATAATATATTAAAGCTTAAAATAAATCATATTAATTAAAAAACTAAGCATTCAATAAAGAATTAAAATCCCAATCAAGATCTAGCTAAGTGCTTTCAATGCCGGCCTACTCAACACTGCATGTGAAAATTAGCAACAAGTTAAAAAAAAAAATCAAAAAAGTTTTACCCTGAATTGTTATTTGCATGCAAAAATTGAAAATTGCGAAGTTTTTTTTTTTCATTTCCCTATATTAATAAAGATTCATTATGCTCTTACCATTTCAGTGAATACGTCAAAAATTGTACAGTTTTTGAATTGACATTGCGTAAGAATCAACCACCTATGATTGAGCATTAAATATCCACACATATACAGTTTATATATATATATATATATATATATATATAGTAGTACACATATGTAAAGTCTGTATTCGTAAATATAATTATATATATATATA